GACCTACATCACCAGGACTCCTCATAGATCTCAGGCCTGCTATAAACAATGTGTCGAGTTTCCAGCAAAGAATAACAAGCTTTCAATCTCCCTTGTAAGTAAGATAAAGAGAGTTGAAGCATATGCTTGAAAAGTTAGAAAATTCAAAGCTGGTAGAAATATTACACCCATAGGGCAGATTAAAGTGTTCTTTAACTGGTTATTTCAGATCAAGTATAAGTCCTCGAAATTAGATCAATGACTAAATGCCTGGCTTATATGCTTAGCAAATAATACAGTGCGGGAAGGTATAATGAATGCATTGCAGCAACGATGAAAAATACAACTTTCCTCTAGTTCCTAAATGCTTCCTCCCCGCCCCCGCTATCATGATCCGAATTCTCCCTTGCAAGTCTGGCTAGACCAGAGGATGTACACTGGTACATATAAGAACTGGAAACACAGAGAATCCAGGACAGATGATCCCTTTAGGACCAGTAGTGTGAGTGGCGATACTGGGAGGGTAGAGGGAGAGTGGGTTGGAAAGAGGTAACCGATTACAAGGAACTATATGCGACCTCCTCCCTGGGGGACGGACAACAGAAAAGTGGGTGAAGGGAGATGTCAGACAGGGCAAGATATGACAAAATAATAATTTATAAATTATCAAGGGCTCATGAGGGAGGGGACAAATGAGGACCTAATGTCGGGGGCTTAAGTGGAGAGGAAATGTTTTGAGAATGATGAGGACAATGAATGTACAAATGTGCTAATGTGCTTTACACAATTGATGTATGTATGGATTGTGATAAGAGTTGTATGAGCCCCTAATAAAATGATTGAAAAAAATTAAAATTTAATTTAATTTAAAAAGAAAGAAAAAAACTTTTTAAACTTAAGTTACAATTTGGACTTTAAAGTGAAATCATATAGAGCGTGATATGTAAATAAAGTGTAAATCATAAACTCACGCTCAAAATTCTGTTACACAAGAGCAGAGCCAGGATTGATTTTGTGGGAAAATAGCAGTCAAACCGCAGCAGAATTAACAAATACACAATCTTATAAGTTTACACAACCTTACAAGTTTAAGTTCTATAAAGCAAACAATTTGCTTGTTTTCTAAGTCTAGTGATGTTAGGAATCTTTAGAGGCTGATAGGGTCGAGGTTGCTAGCCGGGCCTGGCAATCTGCTCCCAAAGGGTCACAGACTGGAGACCCTATGGAGCAATTCCACTCTACGTGCATGAGGGTCAGCACATGATGCCACTTGACAGAAACTAGCCACATCAACTCATTCAGGAACTGTGTTAACTATACGTTTGCTGTGCTATAATTTGCTTAATCCTAAATGTGCTAAAAATTGCTTAATCCTCCAAGCACACCCATCCTGCAAGAGGAAGCACCCGCCCTTTCATCGATAAGGCAGACAAAGTTGTCTGAAATCATTTTTACCTTTGAAAGACTGAATGCAAAGACAAGGCCGCCATGATGTTCATCGTGGGTGATTCTGGGTAGTGAGGACATCAATGATTGTTACTCTCGTCTTTGTACATTTCAGAATGTTTGGTTTCCATAAAACATAAAGAAAAACATCTCTTAGATGCTTGAGATACAGGGGCAATAAGAGACAGTCGATGTAATAAAAGAACTACAGAAAAGGAAAACCAACCAAAAGATTAAAATCCACCCCAGCACTACAGGCTGAAGGTTCCCTCCAGTCCTGCCTGCCAGAACCCTGAACATCATCTCCCACCTTATCTCCGTCCAAGCCTGATTTAGGAGAAACCTTAAAGCACTTTTCATATTTGAAGCAGCAGTGCAAAAATAATTTGAGGACCGAACCATGTATACGGCTTCTTTAAGCTTTCCTCTATGGCGATACCTTGTCCGGTGAACCACTGTGGTGAACTTAATATGAAACTCGCAGTCATAGTGTGGGAAAGAGACGATCCCACCTTGGTTCTATGGTTGTTGTTCTTAGTGCTGACGAGTCATAGTAACCCTTCACACAACAAGAGGAAAACACCTGGGCGGTGTTTTCTTCCTGTTGTTATGTTCGAGCCCATCTTTGCACACCATGCTAATCTATGTTGTTGAGGGTCTTCCTCTTTGCCGCTGACCCTCCACTTTACTAAGCATCACGTCCTTTTAGGGGGACTGGACTCTGACAACACGGTGGTGAAACAGAGTCGTGCCATCCTTGCCTCTAAGGGGCACTCTGGCTGTACTGCTTCCAAAACAGCATTGTTTGTTCTCTTGGGGTTGTTTTGTTTTGTTTATTTTTGAGGGGAGTAGTTTTTGGTTTTTTAATTTTTTTTATTTTGATAATGCATGCAATATAAAACAAAACCTGTTCAGCATTAAGATTTACTAGTAATACAATGTGAAATTTTATGTACGTATTACAAATTATCCAAGAAAAATTAAGCTTCATAACGTGAAATTCGTTTTTGTATGGTTTTATTTCACAGATTTTATATATAATTCACATATCACACAATTTAATGATTTAAATATATTTAAGAGCTGTGCAATCATCACCACAATCAATTTTAGAATATTATCTTCATTCTTATACTCAGTATGAGCTCCCACTTTCCCTTTAACACCCCCTGACATAACCTTAAGAAACTATTAATCCAGTTGCTATCTCTATATACTAACCTATACTAGATATCATTAAAAAAATGTTTTAAGTACAACAACTTTGACAAAATGAAACAGAAAAACCTCAATAAAAGGAAAGCAGAAAATAATAAAAATAGAATGGATCTGATTTAAATAAAATTTTCTTTTTAAAAACATAAAAATTTCTAGTGGGTCAAAAGGGAAAACAAATGATAAGGTATTAAATTTTAGCCTAACTATTCTGCATTAATCCACTTTTCAATGCACTCTGTCTGAGAGCAAGACTACTCATATCCCTGGTCAATGGGCAGAGAGGATTCTCGAGAGCAGCAGTTCTCAACTGTGGGTCGCAACCCCTTTGGGGGTCAAATGACCCTTTCACAGGGGTCACCTAAGACCTTTGGAAAACATGTGCTTTCCTATGGTCTTAGGAACCGAGACACCGCTCCTCTATCCATCTCCAGGAAGGTCCGCCCACATGCAGATACGCCCACGCATGAGAACTCGGCATGAAGACCCATGCTACACCATGCTTCAAGACAAAATTTCACTGATTTGCCATTAGAAATAAATATTTCATAATATATAATTACATATTGTTTTGTGATTCATCACTATGCTTTAATTATGTTCAATTTGTAAGAATGAAAATACATCCTGCATATCAGATATTTACATTATGACTCATAACAATAGCAAAATTACAGTTATGAAGTAGCAACGAAAATAATTTTATGGTTGGGGGTCACCACCATATGAGGAACTGTATTAAAGGGATGCAGCATTAGAAAGGTTGAGAACCACTGCTCTAGAGGCTGTTCTGCATGGAGACCCTGAAAATAGATTTTGGCCTTTCACTTTCCATCGCTTCTGCAAACCAGGTGCTCAGAATTTGAGCTCTAATTCTGTTTCCTCCTCTGGTCTTGGATTTTATTATTTACAATTCTTGGATCACACAGGCTGGTGTTTCTTCTGTGTAGACTTATCTGACACCTCACTTGGAAGGCTGCTTGTTTTAACACAAACCTTTAAGACCCCACGAGCTATTCTTTCTAATAGTCTGACACCATCTGATTTCCTCACCACACTTTACCAAAGCACCCATACTTTCCATAATCTCTTCAAAAAGGCAAGTATCAAGTATGGTCACTTCATATGAACGAATTGTTCTTAGATTAGGGCTATGATTAAATGCAAGCTCAAAACCCATTCATATATCTTTGGTTTATATATGTCCTTGGTCTGCTTTAAAGACATCATTACCCTTTTATTGGGGAACATTATAAATCACCCCCATGGGGCATATATGGTCATTTTATTGGTAGTATAATTAATTTAGATTTAGTATAGAATTTTTAATACTGTTGGGATTTATTTTTTGATAGTCCATAGTACTTACTGTATTCTTCACTAGAACCATAATTCAAATGCATCGATTCTTCTTTGGTCTTCCTGCATTGATCTTACTTCTCATACCACGTTCTGTAAGGTCAGCATTTACTACACAAATATTCATCCTTATCCCAACTTTCACACATTATCCCAACATGTGTGCTGTCCCATGTGATGACATATGTGGGATAACATGTAATAACATATCCCAACTTCCACATGTTGGGATAACATAATGATTGCAAATACCATGATTGGGTCAGGTGCACCCGAGTCCTCAAAGAAGCATCCTATCTTTTCAGCACTTTAAAGAGGTCTTTGCAACAGGTTTACCCTGGTAATATACTGGCTACACATTGGGCTGCTACCCAGCAGGTCAGCAGCTTGAAATCACCAGACACTCCATGGAAGAAAAACAAAGCTTTTTACTCCCATAAAGAGTTACAATTTCAGAAACCTACAGGGGCAACTTTATCATGTCCAATCGAGTCACTGTGAGTCAGAATTGACTCAATGACAAGCGTTACGTGGCTTACACACCATATATATGCACACTCAGAAAAACTGACTTCCCTCAAAGCCAGGTTTTTATGAAAGTGGGAGGAAATGAGAACTACAAAGCACCTCTTGTTTTCATCCACATTCCCCACTGTATCTTTTCACCAAGAACATTACTCTCTCTCTCTGCAAAGGCCACTGTAAAGAATAAAACATTTCTTCTCTGGGAGAAGTAACGTGTTAATCCTGTAGCACACATCAAAACTATTCTTGAACTCTAGCAATAGTACACTCGCACAGGTGTCATCAGATTATCTGAGATTATGATACAGAAAGGGTACATTGTGACAGAGACTGGGGGCAAGAATAAAAGAGGCAGCATTCTCACTAGAGAAACATGCTAAGAACAAGCTCCACCTATTTCACAAATTTGCTTTCATCATGAAACCGCAGCTTGTTCTAGTCTCTAACGCTGCTATAACAGAAAATTCACTAGTGAGTGGTTTTAACAAGCAGAAATTTATTTGCTCTCAGTGTAGGAAACAGGAAGTTTGAATTCAGGGGACCCCTCTTGGGGAAGTCTTTCTCGTCTCTGCCATCTCTGTAGGCAGGTCTTTTGACTTCACATCTTCGTGTGCTTTGCCATCTCTCTTTCCTCCATCTCGGTTTACCTGTTTATCCTGATGTCTTATTTATATATTTGATAAGAGATGGGCTCAGTTATCTTGCCTCATTAATGTAACAAAGACACTCCATTCCCAAATGGGATTTAACCACAAGCATTACAACATACATTTAGGTTTTGCGATCTACATTTAAGTTAGGGAGGACACAGTTCAATCCCTAGCACTACAATAATACAATATAGTCTCAAAGAGAGTCAGCAGGAAAGCATCCATTCCTAAGAGGCTAAATTAATCTTACTTTTCATACCATCTACTAGACAGTCAGCATTCATTACGTATAAATTCATGGTTATCCCAATCACCAATGGTCAGCTCCCCCATTTTAAAACAAGCTAGAATACAGTCCTGAGGGTCAGACTAGAGTAAGCATCCATTAAAATCTCGTCTTCTTACAGATCCATTGTAAAAGAGCTTCACAGCTCGAGGCTTGGAGACCATCTTTGTTCATAGCCCCACACATCTGTACCAAGCTGTTGGAAACAACGCTGTAAGAAATCAGAAAAAGTAAAGTAACCTGCAGAGTCAAGATGATGAGAGGCATGAAGGGAAAAATTATTGAGCAAATTGTAACTCCTTATTCAGGGCTACCACTGCTCTTCTGCCAGTTTGTCATAATGTGGTAGGCTACACATTGCTATCATACTGGACATTATGCCATGGTATTCAAATACCATCAGGGTAGCCTGTGGTGGACAGGTTTCAGCAGAGTTTCCGGACAAAGATAGACTAGGAAGAAGGAAGAGGCCGTCCATTTCTGAATATTTAGTCACTGACACCTTATGAATAGTAACTGAACATGTCCTGATACAGTGCCAGAAGATGAACCCTTCAGGTTGAAAGAATAAGGAAGAGCTGCCTTCTCTAATTTAATTCTGTAGATGGAAGAAAGCTTTGGGGATCTACAGTTGCTCAGGGGACATGACTTAAAATGAGAAGGAACAGCTGCAAAAAACACCCAATAATTGGAATGTGGCTTGTACAAAGTATGAATCTAGGAAATAAGTCATCAAAAATTAAATGGCATGCAAAAAGAGTAATATCGTAAGCATCGGTGCACTGACATGGACGGTCATCGATCATTTTGAATGGGAAAGTCATCATGTTTACAATCCTGGAATGACAAATTAAAAGGAAGGGCTTCACATTCCTATTTTAAAAAACCATTTAAAAAAAAAAAGGAGCATTCAAGATCTATGCTGAAGTACAAAGCTAACCTTCATATGTCTCTAGGGAAAAACAGTAAATATAGCTATCATTAAAAGTTACAAACTAACCATTTATGCCAAAGATGAAGAAACTTAACATTTTTTTACCAATTTGTGCAGTCTGAAGTTACTCAAACATGCAACCAATCTGCATTGATAATAACTGGCCATTGGGGAATCCAGGACGGATGAGCCCTATAGGACCAGTGGTGTGAGTGGCAAAACAGGGAGGGTGGGGGGAGGGTGGGTAGGAGAGAGGGAACCGATTACATGGAACTATGTGTGACCTCCTCCCTGGGGGACAGACAACCGAAAAGTGGGTGAAGGGAGAAGTCGGACAGGGCAAGATGTGACAAAATACCAATTTATAAACTATCAAGGGCTCATGAGGGGGAGGGGGGCGGGGAGGGAGGGGAAGAATGAGGACCTAGTGTCGGGGGTTTAAATGGAGAGAAAATGTTTTGAGAAACGATGTACAAATGCGCTTTACACAATTGATGTGTGTATGGATTGGGATAACAGTTGTATGAGCCCCTAATAAAATGTTAAAAAAGAGGGGGAAAAAAGGATATATTCAACTTACAAAAAAAAACTGGCCATTGGAATGTGGAAGCTGGACCAAAGGAGGATCATCAGTTGGAAACTATGGCCTTGGTGAAAGAAACAACCCTGGAGATGGCAGGAGAAAATTTCCCAGGACCGATTACCTAGTCATTGCAAAACCCTTTTTTCCAGCAACATAAACAGTCACTATACATGTGGACCTCCTTGGAGGGAATTCGCAGGAATCAAATCGACTACATCTGTGAACGTCATCAATGGAAAAAAATCAGTAACATCCATCAAAACAAGGACAGGGGCCTACTGCAGAAAAGACCATGCACTGCTCATGTGCAAGTTTACATGGAAACGGAAGAAAAGGAAAACAATCCACAAAAACCATATGCCTTGGAGAAAATTGACTCATCAGACTCTAAGATGTTACCTCCAGCCACCACCACCCTCACCCCCACCTACCCACCACCCCCATCCATTCCTTTCCTTGCTCCCTGTGCCTGATTCTTCCCGCCTTTTCCTCTCTTGTCCACCTGTTATCCTTGATCCATTTTTCCCAAACATAAGACTTTCTTTTCTCCAGCCTTTTCCTTCTCTCCCTTCCCCACCCCCTCCCAGCCCCTCTTTTTCTGACGCTTTTTTAAAAACCCGTTTTATTAGAGGCTCATAAAACTCTTATCGCAATCCATACCCACATCAATTCTGTAAAGCACATCTGTACATTCGTTGCCCTCAGACGCTCTTTTGAGGGCTCTTACCTGGAAAAGTTTAGGACTGATCCATCTTCCCACCTCCAGTCAGATTTTCTCCTCAGACCAACCCAGTGAAAATCGTTACTGAGGAAAGTTTTGAAGAGGCTCTAAGGAAAAGTTTGAACATTATGAAAAAAAAGGTGAGAAAAACGATTAAGAGGCCTAGTGTTGTGGTCAACTCATTCTTCTTCACACCCTCTCTCATCATCACCTACTCGAAATAACTCATAGCTCTTCATTTCTAATTCTACAGATATGTTGACTGCTGAGTGGAGCTGTTT